AATTTCTTGCATTCAAAAAGTTAAAAAAAAAAAATTAAAAATTTATGTTAATTCGAAAATACAACTGACATTTCTTAGAGGTATATGACGCCTTGTCCTGAATTTGATGCTGCCATTGCAGAATATTGTGTAGAATTGTCGAAGCATTTCAATAACTTGTTACAACTTTTAGGTCAGCAGCAAGCAATTAGAACTTTTGAACTAACTAGCGTATTTACTCTATATAAAGAATGTACACGAAAAAAACTGGTCGCACATAACCAAGCATAGCTCGGTTAATCATAACATTAAAATAAAAATCGGTAGATACTTAAAAAGCTGGAAGCATTTTCCACCTTACTGCATCATTTCTTTTTAGTAACAAAAATCAGTGTAGAAACGAGGACCAAGAAAGAAATCGATCGCGAGTTAATATTGCGCAAAAAGCTGGAAAATCCCAGCATGTTCCATAACGACATCGCAAAAAAGCTAAAACAAACCGTTACTTATGTGCTTAAAAAATGCAATGAATGTTTATCTTTAAAAAGGAACCCTGGTAGTGGCAAAAAAAAAGGATTTGCTTGCGAAATTAAGGCAAAGGAAGTGTTATCTGCTTTTAAGAAAAATCCTGGACTTTCGGTAAGAGATGTCAGCAAAAAATTAAACATGTCGTCTTCGTATATACAAAAAGTATGCAAAACAGCAGGACTACGTTCTTACAAAGTGAATGCAGCACCTAATCGCAACGGTAAGCAAAATTTGTTGGCGAAACAACGGGCTCGGAAATTGTACGACAGTCTCATACAAAAATTTGGCTGTATTGTTATGGATGACGAATCGTACGTAAAAGCCGATTTTAAACAAATCCGGGGCCGCGAATTTCACACTGCAAATAAAAGAGGCAATGTTGGAGATAAATATAAAAACAAAAAGTTTGACAAATTTCCCAAAAAGTTTCTCATTTGGCAGGCAATTTGCCAATGCGGCTTCAAAAGTGATCCTTTTGTAAGCACTGGTACAATTAACCAAGAAATTTATGTTAAGGAGTGTCTGCAAAAGCGACTTTTACCTCTTATACGGCTTCATAAAGGTCCAGTGCTTTTTTGGCCTGATCTCGCGATATGTCATTACGGAAAAATGGCTTTAGGATGGTAACATAGAAACAAAGTGTATTTTGTAGCAAAAGAGGTGAATCCACCTAATTGTCCAGAGCATCGGCCGATCGAAACCTACTGGGCCGTTATGAAATCCAAACTTCTTAAGACGCACAAAGCTGTAAAAAACGCACAACAATTCAAAAATAAATGGCAGCTGGTTTCCAAGGAAATCACTGAAACTTCTGTGCAAGGGCTAATGAAGGACATAAAGTCAAAATTGCGATCGTTTGCTTATTACAAAGAGAATTAACTCTTTTTTTAACGAATTTCAATAAAACTAAGTTTAGATGTAAATATATGTAAATATCGTTGAATTCCATTAATATATTTATGTTTTAGAACGTTTTAACTGTGACCAGTTTTTTTCGTGTACATTCGTTAATATCTTTTTTTAACAAAATAAAGGCGGATTATTTTGTATCAGCTTAATAGTGTTAAGGATTCGAAAGACCAAAATTTTGAATTTGACACTTCACCAAAATCACAAATATCTCTCCAGATTACGGTTTCGGTACAACAGTCGTTGCTTGAGCTAATCTCATCTTTTGCCAGAGTGCCAGACCACTTGCTCAATTTGGTGAATACCTATAGTTACGGTGACTATTCGTACCGATTTTGGCGGGACAGTACCGATTTTGAGAACATTGTCCCGCTGAATATTTTCTAAAAGTCGGGACGCATAAGTGTCCCGATTTTTCATATTTGTACCAATTAAATCCCGATTTTCAGTGTTTTCTTTATTAGTTTAACAAGAGCATTTCCCTACTTGAATACTTTACTTGAAAACTTTCCCTATTGACATTCTCGCCACCGTATATATTTTGCGTATACATTTTTGCGATAATTTTCTAGTTTTTTCTCTTTGTTTTGTTTTAAATAAAACTGTCTTAAAAGATGTTATGTCTTTTTATTCTAAAAACAAAATTGTATGTTCGGATTCGATGCATTACAAATGTCCCCATTTTTGTCCACAGAAATCTGGTCACCGTACCTATAGTGCTTTATGTAGTAGAGCACTTTTGAATAACATTGCTCAGTCACTCAAATTTATTATGTTTTCTTTTTTGTTCCTATCTTTTTAAGTACTCTAAAATGTATGTTATTAGATGCATAATTTTGCTAAAATATTTCAGATCCTCCCTCCGGCAGCAGAATATGAAAATAGGACGCTAAGAACCTAACAACATAAAAAAAATATTCATTATTGCAAAAACTGGATGAGCTACTCCGAAATCCGTGATTTATAAGACTGTTTAGCTGTAGGTTTAGGTCCTTATATCAAAAAACATTCATCTTGCACAAGAATGAAAAAAAAAGATATCCAACCTCATGAAGAATAAGCCGAATGTCGTACTCAGTTTTTAAATACAACTAACCAGAAAGTTACCCACGCGGACTAAAGTGACTATTTTTCACATATTTTCAAATTTATTCGTTAGGATTTTCCCGATAGTAGTAGTTTTTCCAAAATTAAAATACAGTATTTTTTGCTTTGCTGCCTCCATGCTTAAGTGCACATTTAAGATACCTACCCCAAAATGCACATCAGAGGCATTATTTTTAAAATTTATAATTATTATTATTATTTATTTTACCTGCACTGGCCCTATTTTGCAAATCTCGCAGAACAACGAAAACGGCTATTTATGTAGTTATATAGATAATTAGATAACAATCGGTAAAAATTTCGCTTGTAGAAATTTCTACATGGTAAGTGCTCCGCCAATATTTGGTTTCATAGGGATTCGGATACCTTCCTCATTGAAATAGTAAAGAAAATTCGCTTAAGTGCCTTTTTCGGTTACGTGCACAAGTTTTTCGTGCAAAGGAGGATGTGCAGCTAAGCAAAATATACTGTACTTAAAATTGTAGCTAATTTAATGTAGTTTTTAAGGAAGCGAACAGATTTTGAATCGAATCATATTTGAACTAGGAAATTAGGTCTAAGTGAAGCAATGTTGAAAACCACTTTCCAACTTGACAAACATCAATTTCAAAATTTAAAAGCCAAAGCTGGCGTGGATGAAACTGCCGTACTATGGAATACTTCATCTATATTTACGACTGATAATTACATTAATATATTACACTAGCCAATACCCGCTTGCTTTGCGGCGCCCTAAAACACCTTACGAACTGTAAAACAATCATTCAATCGGTTAAGAAGCACGGCAGCAAATGGTTTCTAATTAAAAAATATACACTTAATGAACTTTAAGTTGAAATAACTCTACTACGGTACTACCTATCGTGTCCGTTTTTGGTAGGTTAATTTCTCTTTATATCTGTAATATGCGTACGTGCAATTTCAAGAAAATCGAACCATAAATCGAATTTTTCGAATATGTACAGCTAACTAGGGCCAAATATTCCAATCCGTTCAGCTCTTTTGCTTTATTGAGTAACAAACATACAAACTTTCACATTTATAATGTTAATAACAGGTTTTTATTTTTCCAATAACCTTCAGTTTTCTACATGAGCATATATACATCCTTACCGAATTCCAGTATTCCACCGCAAATACTTTCAGAGATATGCGGTGTCTAAAATGCAGCATGTATAGCTGGTGCCACGCCCACCAATAATAAGATACTTTCCTGTGCTAAAATGGAGCCTATATTGTAATTTAGACCTCTAGCTATACCTCGGTGGAAACTGAATTTAATTCCTTGCATGGGTTTTATGGAGAAAACGTCAAAAATTAGTAGTTACTTCCTAACTGGTAAGTTTCATTAATTTAATACATATTGAGAAAAGTGCAATTAATTTCAACATTTGTTCGCGTTTGGGCGTCGCCACTAAGTTAATAACAGTAGCTAAACATGGACCAATTTCTACTCTGATTACGTTAACATTAAAAGGACAGATTTGACAAACGAACGGAACATAGATAATCTTCCCTTCGACATTGCTGCTAGAGGCTAGCATTTTCGGAAATTATTTATTTTTTTCAAATAGTAACTGCGCACCTGAAAGTACATATTTCCCTACCTAGCACATAAAAGCGACATTGTTAAAAACTTCAACAAATTTTAAAGTATGTCAGACCTGATTGTACTCAACATGGCTTTACTTAATCCTAATTTACTAGTTCAAATATAAATCAATTCAAAATCTGTTAGCTGTTTTAAAAACTATATTAAATTAGCTATAATCTTAAGTATTTTAATTTTAGAAAAATTACTACTATCTGGAAAATCCTAACAAATAAATTTAAAAATTCGTTAAAAATAATACCATATACTCACTTTAGGCCGTTTGGATAACTTTCTGGTTGGTTGTATTAAAAAACTAAGTACGCCATTCTCTTTAGCGGCTTATTCTTCATGAGGTTGGATCTCTTTTCTTTCTTGTGCAAGATGAATGTTTTTTGATATAAGGACGTAAACCTACAGCAAAACGGTCTTATAAATCACGGATCTCGGAGTAGCTCGTCCAGTTTTTGCAATAATGAATACTTTTTTCATTTTGTTAAGTTTTTAGCGTCCTATTTTCATATTCTGCTGCCTGAAGGAGGATCTGAAATACTTAAGCAAAATGTATGGAGAAAATAAGGCATCTACAGCGTGGCGACGAATAACTGTTACCCAGGTTTTTTTGAAAAATAAAAGGGTCCTTTACAGGTTTCGGAAAAAAGGTATTTTATTGTTAATTTTCCACAGATTTTACTTTAGTTGTATTAATTAGTTTTTAAATTTGAATCCTTATTTACATTTGCCAGCAGTGTAAACTTTAAGAGAAAAGTTCATTTGGCACGCAATATTCATATTACTCTCTACAAATGTCAATAGTATTTCGGCCGATATATTTGCAGTGCTTTATTTTAAACTAACATTTTGAATACCCTTTCCTTTATTTCAGAGTAACTGGTGGCGAACTATTTGATCGCATTGTTGAGAAAGGTTCATATACCGAAAAAGATGCATCTGGTCTTATAAGACAAATTCTTGAAGCCGTAGACTATATGCATGAGCAAGGTGTGGTGCATAGAGATCTGAAGGTAAGAAGAACGTTTATTTGTTGTGTTTAAATCATAGGTCGCACAAAGCACGTGGTTTATAATAAAAAGAAATCAATGTAAGTTATCTTTTGACACTTTTAACAAAAAGGAAACATTTTGCTGATATTGTTTAACAAGAAAATTTGGCGAGAGTGTCTTTACGTAGCGCTGTACATACAGTGAAGAGCAAAACTGTAACATGGTGTAACACTTTTTATTTCAGCCACCGCTAAATTTCCAAGTTCTAATGACTTTCATCCTTTTGTTGTATATTCTTGTTGGTACATCCCTACTCCCTCTCTCATAACGATTTGAAGTCAATACAAAAACAATAAAAAAAACAAAAATGTAAATTAAGGCAGATGTTACAGTTTTGCGCTCACTCAGTTTTGCATTTGACAGTTATCTCTTACTTAGTTGGAAGTCAGATGATTTTTTTCTATATTGTAATCTATTGAAAAAGTGATCACCATTAAATAACATAGTTAATCAGGAACCATAAATGTAAATAATAGATTTACTGCGGCAAGGCGGGACCGCACGAAAAGTGGCAACAAATTTTGGAATTTTCTACTTGAAAATGTTAAGACTGAGAAAAAATATAGCCTGAAATGTTCCCAAGGACAAAGGAAGTCTGTCAAAAAATATTACGGTACGATATCTTGTGAACTTAGAAGCAAGTAGCGATGCAGCCACTATTATTTATTTTATTTATTTATTTATTGCCAAATTGAGCGCAAAAGCACTATAAAGAAGAAAAAAGCAAATTTGATCATAATACATGTGCGAGTGTGGCAGCATTTCGCTGCATCGCACGAAAACCGAACCGTTGCCTATTGGGATATGCTAGGCCGTTCAGAATGCAATAAAAAACATATTTTTAAGTTTCAATTGAAGGTTATTTGGTCTGACAAGACTAAATTAATCGCTTTCAATCGGATGGCCAGTCATGGTATTGGATCAAAGACCCAAATTAAGCCCATTCGCATCATGTAAGGAAAACTGTGAATCACAGTGGTCGGTCAATAATAGTTTGGGGTTGTATTTAAAAAATTTTGTTTGTCCGTTAGTACGTATTATGCGTAAGGAACAGTATCTGTTCATAAAATTTGCAAGATGTAGTCGAAAAAATGAGAATTTCTGCTGAAAAATCTCTCAAAAAACACTGCACATGTTCGCAATGACCTCCACAATCCGCGGACATGAATCTCATCGAGAATTTGCGAAATCGACTAAAAGCACAGTCCGTAAAATCGAGTACATGAGCTGTGAAAGCAAACTAAGGATATACCTCCAGAATTTTTACTAAAATACAAATAAGGTATGCCAAATCGCATCCAGGAACTGAAACAAGCAAAAGAGTACTGAACATTGTGTTAGTAGTTCTTTTTTTCGTGAAAATTGTTAAAAAGTTCTTAAAAATATATGAGTGCAAAACTGTAACATCTGCCTTAATTTACATTTTTGTCTGCTTTTTTTTTTATTGTTGTTGTATTGACTTCAAATCATTATGAGAGAGGGAGTAGGGACGTACCAACAAGAATATACAACAAAAGTATGAAGGTCGTTAGAACTTGGAAAGATAGCGATGGCTGAAGTAAAAAGTGTTACACCATGTTACAGTTTTGCCCGTCACTGTCTACTCCGGTCTCCTTCCCAGTCATCAATTTTCTATTTGCTTCTTTGTATAATAGCTGTGCGGTAGGTGATTCTTTCACTCTCTTCTTAGGTTGCGGTTTCGGTATTCGCACGAAATCGCTTACAGTGCATATCTGCGTACATTATTTAAATGGGTTACCAAAACCACAACATTCGAAAGTTAGGCATTTCGCTGTCAAAGCGCCGTTGCGCGAATAAAATCACTCTTACCGAAACCGTAGCTTTTCAGCAACAAATCTCTCGGTTTCGGTTATCGAAAAAAATTATACCCTTGTTTTTTTTTTATATAAAAAAATATTTAGAGGTCGCTCAAAGTTTTACATGTATTTTATATGGGGAAAAACCATTTTTCGTGGAAATGGAGAAAATTCTGTTTCTCTTCAGGATACTTCTAATAATAATACCCAATTGTTTATTTGACCATTTTTTTAGTTTAATGTGGCTGCTGGTATACATACTTCTTATATTTAATCCTGTTTGCTTTACTTGTAGTGAGGCGTGTTATTCGAACAATAAATTGGGTTTGCTCCTGTAGTATCACAGCGCACGGCAGTGCGCGCGAGTGACGAAAGCAGCCACAGTAGCATGCTGAAATGACTCGCTTATATATACACGAGATTTGGAAGTATCCAGACGTCCAATCGACATGTTTGAGATATCGTTGGAAAGGTCTTGCAGAGTGTGTCCAGAAAATGTATTCAAGCTTCATAAACGATTAACCGGATTCTTAAAAATTAGGCTAAAGTGTTGCGAAACAAAAAACGTTTTTTTGCTTTTGCCGGTTTAAGGGGGCATGTGAGTACACCCAACATATTTAGTGTTATTCTATAGGCCAATACCTTTCAAACGATACCTTATATATTGAGTTCCGGCTACTAGTTGGAAAGATATAGAGCTAAATGTGTTTTGGTATGTACGGAAATTTTTTTTTTATTTATTCGGAACGTTGCGAAATTCCGTTTACTGCTAGAAACACAAAACAAAAAACAGAACGTTTGCAACGATTCGTATGAATAAAAAAGATTTTCCCTACGTTTCAAATTCAGTTAAAAAATGCATATAATTTTCGTCACGAAATTGATATCATAAATTTTGTGTTTCTAGTTCAGCTTTCGTCACTCGAAAATTTTACCTCAAAGAGGTGTTTTATTTGATATCAATTATTTTGGGGTAGCAAATTTAAAATCGACGAAAATACAAACAATAAACTACACTCAGTCAATAAAGTTTAGGTACAGCGATTTTTTTACAATATGGGCAACTATTTTTTTAATTATTTAATTTTTCGCGAATTTTTTATAAAAATATGGTTAATTCTACAACAAAAACCCCAAAATTCAAAGTTCCAAACCTTGTGCAAAATTAAAGATAATTCTGCAAAATTTCATTTAAATATTGCACTTTTTATTTACGCTCTCTAGAAAAAAGTTGAGTATGCAGTTTTTTAGCCCATTCAATTTTAGTATAATAAAGTGCAAATATGAGGAAGCTAGGACTTAGCATTGATTTTTGGGGAATTTTTTTCTTTAATTTTGCACAAGGTTTGGAACTCTAATTTTTTGGTTTTTTGTTGTAGAATTAACCATATTTGTATAAAAAATTATCGAAAAAAAAAATATTAAAAAAAATAGTTGTCCGTATTGTAAAAAATTCGCTGTACCTTAACTTTATTGACTGACTGTAAATGCTTTATTTTTCTCATATAAATTGCTAAAATTTATAATACAGGGAATGATCAAACGATAAGTCATCAACATTCTCTGTTAGATTTCCCTCTATATTTTTTATGCCCATAAAGGGCTTACCAGGTGGTGACATATCTAGTTGTTTGTGTCTGTTTATAACCGTATTATACAACTGGCGTCCTTTGGATTACCCAAGCTATCAATGAAATCACTTTCAGAACTTAAGAACCAAAGTTTTGTAAGCGTTAAGATAGTTGCTTGCAGACAAGCCGTTGCTTTTGAATCTAAAGTACTGTGCTTTGAGCGATTTCTAATGGGCACCGCTGTGCCTCGATGAGCCTTGCCATCTATGTGATTTGTGGCATATAATTTATATATATGAAACATTCTTTTTCATATCGCACACTAAATTTTGTGTCACACTTTCGATTGGCTTAAAATTTTTTTTTATGGTTTCTATATGATCTGTCAAATTTAGCTTTTTTCGTGATTCTAACTAATTATGTACTCCTTAAAATAGTTATATCTCGGGTTCTGCCCATCGTAGAGACTTCATCTTCACTTAGTTTTAAATCTAAAGAAACGGGCTTAATTAATTATTTTCCCTACGTTTCAAAGGCAGTTAACAAATGCGTATAATTTTCGTCACGAAATTGATATCATAAATTTTGTGTTTCTGGTTCAGCTTTCGTCACTCGAAAATTTTACCTCAAAGAAGAGTTTTATTTGATTTGTATACCTTGTGAATAAAAATTTTAGAAAAAACACTTAAAAGGAAAAAATAACTTTTTATATCAAAAAATATTTTAAACAAAAAAATTGCTAGCCGATTTTTAAAAGGTTGGCATCGTTTTTAAGGTGGTTCAACCCCCTTTCGTCTAATATGCATATTTGCATACTTCGTATATAAAAATTGGAGAAAAAACACTGAAAAGGACAAAATACCAATATGCATATCAGAAGAAAGGGGGTTTAGTCGCCTTTACAACGATATCAATTTTTTTTAAATCTGTTAGTAGTTTTTTTGTTTAAAATATTTTTTTTATACTAAAAAGGCATTTTTTCCTTTAAATGTGTTTTTTCTCAAATTTTATATACGAAGTTTTCAAATAAGCACATCACAAGAAAGGGGGTTCAATCACCTTTACAACGGATCTTTTAAAAATCAGTTCAAAATTTTCTGAAATATTAAGTTTTGAATTTTTCGAAGATCTGACCTTTGACCCGTTATAGCACCTGTAATATAAGTTTTCACAAAAAAAGTTGAATACCATATAAATAAGAAAAAAAAAGCGGACCACGTAGGTATTTTTACAAAGGCCCATATCTCGATTTCGGAAGCTAACTTCGAAAAACGGAGAACTTACTTTTTTTACTTATAACTCAATCTTTTAAAAAAAGTTGGCTTGGTTCAATACCCAGCCGAGTGCTGTATCGTGTAATTGTACCATGAATTATATGTTAAAAATAGTTTAGCCAGTACAGGCTTAGATAAATCAGTGTGGATTTCGATACTATCGACGGAGTCGACTATCGATAGTTTGACAGCTCTAGTGGTAATTTTTAATTGAATATACTCTCATCTCTTTAGCAGAAAAAGGGGCAATTTCCATAAAATCCGTTTCCTGGTAATAAGTGAATATAAAATTAAGTATT